CCGACGCTCGCGGTATCGCGCGATGCGTGTGAGAACGAAACAATTGCGTGTCCCACGATAGAAAATGAATACTTTTAATCGGATGTGATAATTATATCCGAAACCTGCACGAAATTCATGCTCTGTTCATTTACCATCGAAATCTGCATTTTTCTTCAAATTTCGCATTAAGGGTATCGCATTTTTTAAAGAAATTTGCTTAAATTGTATCAGAAACGTCGGTACAAACGAATCTTTGGATCTTATCTGATGTTCTGCGCTATCGATAAGATCATCTTTGAGAGTAATATTAAAATTATTATTATTTTTTAACAATAGCATAAATGAGTCATACTTTCAGGAAGAATAACAAACGATCTTACTTTGAATTAAAAAAAAAGGGCATTCATCCGCCCTCTCTAGCTATATTTACATTAAAATAAAAATTAATTAATTTGCATACTGGAATTTTAACTTCCTCTTTATTTCATAATAGTAATTTCCGGAATTCTTGTTCCAAACTAATGCTTATTTTATTTTTATTCTGAAGACTCCAGGACCGTCAGTTCGCCTCTAAAATTAGCACTAAATCGAGTGTGGCGCTAAAATAACACAAACAATAATTATAAGATTTACTATACACGAGTCTGAAATATGACGATTTGAAAGTCACGTGGTTTGGTGATGATGTTTGCAATGAGAAACTACATTCAGTAATTCACAATAAGGCGGCTTGAGAAGGAACTGGAACGACGTCCCGGAACCCATGAACTTTTGAGGCCCATCAGAGGGAAAAAAATCAAAAAATTGTCCGTTTTCTGATTATTTTTTTCCAAATAATGAAATAACTTTGGTCACGGGCTAACATTTATACTATATTATTTTTCTACTCCAATATTATTATCATTTGTACAAGCAGGGTCTCCGAAAGAGAGCTCCAAAATGGTCTTTGCACCGACAGCTCTCCATTGTCTCGGGGGGCCCTGTGTGTTATATCAAAGTTTGAATATATCGTTATTTTAGAAATAATTTTATCGAATCGTTTACAGTTTTCTTAACTAATATATAACAGTCAAGTTTAAAAAAATTATAAGCACGTTTAAAGACCAGAGGCTAATAATAGCAACAAACCAAATTAGAAGAATATCCATTAAAAATAATTAAATTTACTAATAATCCAAACGACTTCAACTAAATTTTAATTTTCGAATTTACGTTTTTTTCCGGAAAAACAGTAATTTTACTTAAACGACCGGAAAATTGAACAATATTCCAACATTCTTCCTGACATAACAATGAATTGTTCATGCGTGGAGCTATAAAACCTCCACTAACTAGTAAAGGATTGTCCTTGACATTGTATTATAAGATAGGGAAAAATTTTCAGAATGTTTTCGTTTATTTTTAATTTTTGAGAGGAAGTTTTTGTCATTTTAAATAAATAAATTTATATATAGGCCTATATATATACCCTGTATAATAAATATAAATATACATAGTTTAAAGTTTTGTATATATATTGAGCAATCGGTTAACAACAAAAAGCGAAAACGACACTAAATTATGTCGAAACACATTTGTATACCTTATTTAAATGTCAGCACTAAATTAAATATATTTTAGAGCTATCTTTTTTTAATAATCTAATTATGTATGTGGATTGCGTGCACAAAAAATGTTACAATGAACACTTTCAAAGATTATTGTGATTCGAAAAGCGATTCAGGAAAGGGAGATCCTGTTTCCGTTATCGTTTCCGGTATTGTAGAAGATCCTGAACACTAGTAAATAAGAGAAAAATCCCCACCCAATTTGGAACAAACTGCTATGTTTACGCTACCATCCCTTCCTTGTTTTCTACTGAATACCTTTTAAATGATTACATCCTAGTATGAATTTTATAAAACTGAATAATGTCCTTTGTTACGTACAGTACAATATTTACCGATATGCTTTCGTCTTCTAACGTATACCTGAAGACAGGGGAGAATTTATGGTGTGCATGGTATCCCTTCTGACAGTTTTCCCTAGTAAATCCTGGCAGTAAATTTCGAGTAAAAAATTTTGTAAGGTATATTGTTTTTTTCTGCACCCTCTTTAGATTTCTGAATTCGCTACTCTCTGATAAAACCTGTCAATTGTCTATAATTTTTACATCTAATAAATGAATATCAATCATCGTAAGTACAAGGTTTCCATTTAATAATTTCACACACTTTTCCACAATTTGCATCAGTAGTTACAATTTAACTCTTAAAAATACGGCAAATGGCGCGATGCGGTAGAAAAATGGCAAGCGATTGAGAGTATTTATGTAATTATAATAGAACCTCGAGTAGCCTACACATTGCGAGGAAACACATATTTTATTTTAAATTAGAAAAAAAAATTTAATTAAACCTTTGGGTGGCGTTTGAAAAATCAGATAATCGGCATAATCACGTGATAGATCCTCAAGCGATTTCGAATGTCCCAATTTCGGAGATGGTTTATCGTCCGAAATTTTGCCCGACAAATCTCGTTTATAAACTAACTTAATATGTTTATTGCAGATATAAGTCTAACAAATGAGCATTTTTTTCAAAATTGATCCCGTTAATTTCACGTTCCATCGAGCATTCGTCACGATTGCATCAATAGAAACGATCGTACTGCCGAAACGAATTATGTCATAGAAACTAATCAAATTATGCAAATTAGCCAACCATCTCTTAGAATCTTGTATATTTAATTAAAAATACATATAATTAGTAATATAAGTCAATTAATACCGAGTTTAGAAGCTACAGTCGGAGTACAACGACCCTGTGGTCATAAATGTTAAAAAGACATAAATAAAAACGATAAGAAGTAAGAAAATGCATTAATGAATAAAGTTATTATTTGGATGGTTGTTCATTCAAGGTTATAACCACCTACCGATGGCATTGCTTATTGCCTTTAGGCAGGAATAGCGTCGAAAAAATAAAAACGAAATAAGGACAGCCCATGATGTAACCAGACCCACCTCACAAATACCCTAAAAGGAAAATGATAATAAGGCCATTGTCGACTATTAATCTATAAAAATACTTTTTTTTTCAAAATATTCTTTCAAAGAAAATAACTTCTATACAGATGGGGTCGTATATTTCTCCTTTCGTTCCAGCAAGTAGTAATTACATTCGAGTCTACTTATTTTTTATTTTTATTTTTTTGCTCCGTACCTATACTCATCATTGTAAGAGTTAAACATATTTTCTTACTTTGTTTGTTTGAACTTAACGGATATTTTTTACTAAACAATCGAATCATATTTTCAATATATACAACCATCTTTAGTTATAATTCGACAAAAGTAAATAATACTTTCGGTATTTTTTTAACAGCGTCACCGTTGTAAGTATGCATCTATTACACAAAATTTCTGATTTTTGTATCTAAAAACACCCGAGGAATAATTTTATATTTAAAAAGTGGAGACATAATTTCAATTTTATTGTCGACCAACAAACAGATGGTCATTCGAATGTGGGTGTTTCTACGGAATTCCATTAGCAAATGTTTCATTACAAGACAAGGTTGCTAACTTACCAAACCCTGAAGAGAAGGTCATTGGAACAGAAGATTACCATAAAGAGGGTTTGTTTATTATACGTCATAATAAGAATGAATTGAAAATTAGGACAACATCCAACGGACAATATCGAAATTGCAAAATTTGCCACGGTTATACAATCTTCTTCTAAACAAATTATTATTTTGTCCAAGGGCTTTATTGAAATTATTCCAATGTCCATAGATTGCAAAATTTCAGATGATTAAAATATGATTCATGTATTTCCAATGACATATTTTATAAGGGATTTTTTGGAAAACATTCTTTTCTAATTATAGAATATTTCCTTCTTCAAGGTTAGTAGTCATCTCGATTGTAATTTTTTGTTCTTTTTGATGAAGGAGATTTGAATGTTTGCAATATAATTTTAAAAATTACATTTTTCTAAATTTTCCTTATAGTCTTAATGACTTTTATTTGAAATTTTATAACAATGATACAAGACCTGAATTTTAATCATTATTTTCTGTACTTTAAAATATAATTTTGGAATGTATGCTAGTGGAGTTGCTCACCGTACCTTATTATTGGGCCAACGATTTTAATATTTTTGTTTGTATATATCTAAAAATAAATTTATTTTTGAGATTTTTTTAGAATCATTTAAATATTATAAGGCACAGATTTTTAATTCAGAGTTTTTTAAAGATGTTTTACTATAGGGCATAAGCAAAGTCGGATTTACATACAAGCTAATCAAGGGCCTTATACTACGAAGGGCCTCGCTTCATTTCCAAAAAAATTTATGTATGTTTTCATTACTTGGTCTAAAGAGAAGGGTCTTTTGTAAGTTGTAACTTAGGACCACAATTTAACGCCCTAACTTAAGGACTTCGAATTCGAATGTAAATTCAGCCCTTGGTATAAGGCTTTAAAAACGTTTAATTCCTTAAATAAATGCCGAATTTTGAATTTAAATTTGTATAGGAATTTAATTTTAATTAACAATCGTTTAAAAAGAAATTTTTTTTTTTGTTTAGCCTTAACTCTTATTGTGTGCCTTCGCTAATTAAACACAATTAAAGAAGTGGGACAGTCACTTGTATTGTATTTTGAGTAAACAAATATGATTGTGATTTAATGTAAATTTTTGAAAATTTAAGCATTAAACTAAGCTTTTTCGTAAACTTGTTTTATGCTGAGACAATATTTTATGATTGTTTCAACGTTGTTCCAAATTTAAATCGAGATCCAAACTTTTCAAAGAATATAAGTTATATATTAAGAAAGTATTTTAAAAATTTCATTAAAAATACGAAATTATATTTAAATTATATAAATTGCATCATAATAATCCTCTCACGTCTTGGTCCATATAAGGAATAGACTGAAATCGCAAAGTTACGACCATAAAAAAATCGGTTTGCAAGCGGTTTTTCGATGAAATTCCTGAACGCTTACCGCTCCAGCACCTACCTGTACTACCTGTACGTCGTCGGACCAATGGGAAGAGTTGGTTTGACGTCACGAACTGGCCAATTCTTCCAAAGTTGCTAAAGCGAGAATGTTACTCCTGCGTTGCCATACATGTGTCTTGTACTATGGATGTATACGAAACTAAAAGTATACGGGACTAATTAAACGACTGTAGTACGTTTATGTACATACCATGAAGAATATATGTGATTTAAGAAGATTATTAACAACTCTGATTATACTTTTTTGCCATCAGGTAAGTTGTTAATGCGAGGACAAAGAGGTCTATGACCAAGTGGTTCTCGTGGCAGATAAGGATAGCATCTAAGTCTCCCCATTTATTTCTATAAAAGTATAAAGTTAGATATATCTACTTTTAATATAGCTCTAGTACAGTAGAATTTTGTTCGCTTCCTCGTTCAAAATGGTCGACTCTATTAGAAATAAAACAGAAAATTTTAAGTGAAAGTTAGTGAAAGTAAACTCTAAAATCAATCTTGCGGAACTAAAATAAATACATTATTCTCGTAAAAACTTGTATATTCTTCTAAAATGAGAAATTGCTTTTTTGTACATTTGTATTTTATTCTATAAAATTGAGAATTTCGCTTAAATCTAGGTTCATAAGCAATTTGTATAGAAGTATATTTTAAAAATCCATATAGTGTGTTGAATTTATTGATGTTTTATGTATAAAATTTTTATTACTTCTTGGATATTATTTACTTTCCACAAAATAATACCTTTTAAGTATGTAGTTAGCATATTTTTGATATTTTTTCTTCTGACAAACAAGTAGTAGGCGTAAACAAGTATTTTCGATAGGTCTATAATATATAGCATACTGTATTTCTACATTAACATATGAAAAATACACTTTTAATTTTACTCGGTAGTTAACGTTAGTAATTAAATTTACTTTAAAAAAAAATCAATAAAAATGTATATTTTGACATTTATTTACCATAAATTTCTATGCCAACACTTTTAAACCTTTCGTCACATAGGTGAGTTTTATGGTTATAGACGAATAGGTTACAGTAATCAAAAATAAATAAAATAGTTACAGATTGGTTCTTAGTCAATAAAAATTGAATTTTCAAACACGTCCACGCAGTACGGCCTCGTCTAGCGACCCATCTAAGTAGGACATATGTGGATCACGTGATTTACCCCACGTGCTATCATTTTTATTGACGACTGAGGATGTCCCTCGTCCGATCTCTAATCGGGAATTAATCGAGCGTATCTTCCATCCTTCAAGAAAAAATATACAATTTTATTCTTTCACTTTCGAATAATTGGTAATTAAATATCGAAATTCGTGTAATTTTGTGTCCTAAATATCCCATTAATTTTCTTTCTTTTTAGGAATTTTTATACGCTCCTCTCTTTGTGTTATTTTTGTCGTAAAACTGAAAACACGCACCAGCAAAACTGCCGATTAAATTATAGTAATGTTCATATTCAATAAGTATTGCAAAATTTTAACCATTATTTTTTTCAGATGGTGTCTCAAGATAAGATTCTAGCTCCCTGTGAAATTGCTAACCCCTTATCTCGTGAAGCATGGTCCTTTCTAACTTTTTTGGTCGTCTAGACTCTAGGGTTCATCACTCACAGGGAGCTGAAATCTTACCCTTAATTTATCTACTTATTGAAGTTAAGAAAATCATTTCCATTTTGGAAAATTAATTTAAAAATAAATAAATAAATAAAAATACTGTATTCAATATATTTTTAATGACTCGCTGTTCTCGAAGGAAAAATTACGAAATATTAACAGTGAAATGTCATAAATTCTTAGTCTAGAAAGCATTTGGGCAGATGAAATATTGCTAAATGTTTTAATGCTTGGCTGCAATTTTTGACAATTACTCGACGAACTGAAAGGAAGTAAGACGGAGAAAAAAAGTAAATAACCAATTTCGAAATCTTACATTTTGTTCCGAAAATTACACAAGAATTGCCACCTACCGTATGACATCATATCCTGCACTTCGACACACCTGTTTAAAGATTGTCCTCTACGAAATTCCAACATAATTTGTCCTTTCAGAGAAGGTTGACGTTCGATTCTCATTAAAGCTTAAAACTTACCAGCTGTGTCCATTACGACATCGTCTCATTGAAACATACTGTAAAACCTTTCAAGTTATTGCCTCTACGTAGTACTATAATTATTGTAGGAGTGCTGCACTAAAGATGACAGTTGTTAAAATCGGAACAGCCGCTTTCATAAATGGAAAAGAATAACTTCTAGTTGAGAAATAATAACATCTTAAAACAAAAATAAATAATTTAGTTTTCAAGCAAATTTTATGTTATGTAATTAATTTAATTAGAAAAATTCAGTCAAAATTGAAGATTATCTCATCTTAATCATTAGTAAACAGCGCAGATACATTTTAAACTTTCATTTCCCTCTTTTCTTTATTCTAATAAATAAACTGTAAATGAAATTATAAAAATTACGTTTTATTACTGAATTTTTCTATAATATTTTTCTATTAAAACATTACGTAATTTTTCAGTCTTGATACTGAAACCACAAGCATTTTAGTATAATGCTGCATCGTTTAAACGGTTTTAAATTACGTACGAACGTTTAAATGTGATTAAATGTTAAGACAATTATATAAATTTTCTGTAGAATAAAACAGAGATAGAGATATTTCCATGAATGCAATTATACAGAAAGTTTAAGTTGTTAATAATTGAATAAAAAAAAGAAAAAAATTACAGAGAAAAAGGCAGACTCGTTTATTTCCAGTTTTGAATTTCTTGAAACAAAAAGGAATTTTGAATAAAACTTTTTCTTCTTTCAAAAACTGTTTCGTTTCGACACCTTTTAAAACCATTTTTTTAAATGTGTAAAGTCATAATTTAAAGTTTCTTTTGTCATTTTAACGCTCCTTTACACTTTACTTTCTTTAAGATTACTTATACTTTTTTACATCAATTAAAAAAAAACATTTAAAAAATTTTAGTTAAAAATTTAAAATTTTAGAATTACTTTTCTAAAATTTCATTTTTTTCTGAGTTCTTTCTACATTTTATTTATTAATTAATGAAATATCCAACTGACTTATCCAGGAAACATCCAACCAACCGTATTCATCAATTACTAATGCATAACTATTTTACAAATTATGGATCTTATTTAAATAATTAGAGAAATTTTAGAGCCGAATAATTATATATATAAAAAAATTTTCATGTTACAATTATAACTTTAATTACGAATAATAATTTCGTATTATGAAATAAGGAAAAATTTTAGTAATTTTTTACATTTATTATCCTTCCTTAGAAATTCTTGTAAACTATTTAAATTATATTTTATAAAATTAGAATAATTTGGATTAAATTTGCTTAATTTTTAAGCTTTTTTTAAAAAAAATGGCTGAACCAAAAGTCAATTAACCGATTTAATTGGCGTTTTCCTTCTCGGTGAACTGATTTTTGGGCCAACCTGTATTTTTTTCCGTATAATGTTATTTAAAGTTCGAGCTATATTTATGTATAGAAATATAGTATGAAGTAATTTTCCTCTTATATTTATAATTCTGTTCGTTAAATATTGCTATTAAGGTATACAATACATATTTAAATTCGTTTATTTTTCGTGTAACTCGATTTTCTGTCCTAATTTTTCATTTTTGTTTCATTGTAAATTTATTTGTAACATCCGCAAATTTAATTATGAATATGTAACGCAATTTCATATGCAAGAAAGTACCGTACATTGAAAGTGCACGCGTTAAGTAATTAAATTTCTTAAAAGCTTCCTTTAAACAAATTAAATTCTTGAACCCTGTTGTGAGATTTATCGTATTAAAAGTCACTGATGATTTTATGTTGTTTACTCAATAATATTACAACGATAAAGTAAGATGAATATGATTAATAATATAATAGTTTAGATGCGGATGAGCTGTTTGAAGACGTATAATAGTAAAAATGTTTCGATAATTTAATTGTTATTTACTAATTAGATAGTTGTAATTAATAAATAATTTACATGAAGGATGAGTTTTTAATTATTTGAAGAAAATTAAGAGATTAAAAACAATGCCCTTTATCCATTCGTCCGTTATTTAGATGAGAAAAGAGGAAGTAATGAAGATACGGTTCTTGACTAATTAATTAAAGAAAAATTCGAAAAATCACAAAAGATGATCGGGTTAAAGAGTTTTCTCTTTTATTTTAGCATTTGATAATGACGCCTACCATTATTTAGTTTTTATTTTTCCTCTAGCTAATTAGTGGAGGAAAAACGAAAATGGATGCATATCTTTTATTTATTTAGTTATTTTTCAGCTTCTTTCAAATGCTGTTTTAAAGCTAATATAAATATATACCGATAACTCCAAAATTTAATTTTAAAATTTCCTTATATAGAACTGTTAAGTAAATTTTAATAAAATTTTACACCACTCCTTTCTATATTAATATATACGTGTATATTGATTTTCCTACAAGGAAGTTTCGTATTAGTTAAGTAATTCAAATTTGTTCTAGTATAAATTATGCAAATTTGTGTTTAGTGCTTCATAATGATCACTTAACCTTCACGGTTCCGTTAATAAAATACAGTACTGTACCTCTTAAGTTTTGTTCACGAAAGTAAGATCAATATTTTCTATACATTAATTTGTCTGTAATGATACTAGTTTATATCATAGAAAGTACATTCAATTGAGATAAATGATATAGAATAATCTGAAATTATAATATAAACTTTGGCATGATAATTATAATTGAAAATTCAACTTAAAAGAATGCAGAACTTGCATAGAAGCGACTTGATATACATAAATGACAGTTGTATTCATTAGTAGTGAGAATTTTGTGAAGTTATTTTACTAACATCAGTTTTTCTTAAGGAGGGCTGACATTATGATTTAGTTTAATGCTATTATAATGAATGTTATACCATTATTTTTAACTGGTTCAGTCTTTTATTTTTATGGGTGAGCTTACATTTGATATTAATTTATATACACAGAGAGAGAAGACCGTGTTTTCAGAATTAAAATTTAGTTTTTCCGATGTTTCTGCAAGAAAAATTAAATAAATATACAACAATGAATCATTTTATAAAAAAATATCTAGCGAAAGAAAATTATATATGAATAATTTTGTTTCAAAAGTTATCACTAGTTGACAAATGGAGCTGTATCGAGTATAGGAGATTAAGGGTATCCATACACGGAGGGTCGTTTCCCTAATGCGAAGTAATAATCTTAAGCA